ATATATATAAATATATAGGCAAGATATATAGAAGTTACGCTAACACAAGTCTTGCATTTCGTAAATTCTACGGATAAATGTTGGATCATGAAATATTCGCTGTGGGAAATATCTAAGGTGTTCAATACGCTTTGTTTGTTCTTACATCGAATTGCAAATTTTTCTAGAAAATCCACAAGCGGGCTCTTGGGACACGTGTTATCGTGCCAAAAAAGTGAACATTTAAAGCCATTCTATAAATTAAATTAAAATTTGTTTAGGAACCGATTTACAAGCGGAAAATCTTTTATCATACGTAAATAGTGAGAACATATGAGAGTGATATCGATCTTCTATTCTTAACAGCGATTCCATAGAGATTTGAGATTTTACGAGATCCTTGTCTGACTAGACTAGATATACGTATGAGAATAAGATACGTTCGCTGTGTCACATTCTCGAACATAATCAGCCCTTTTTCGCATCAGAGTGCAAAAGAATCAAATAAAGCGTTTCACGATTCTCAAAATGAGTCAGAAGTTTCTTCAGAAACAACTCGTTATTCAAGCCTCGGCCTTCTCTAGCAACTTTCTATGAACTTAACTTCCCTCCTTTTTCTAAGAGAGAGCTACAAGATAAAAACTTCACTTCGTAAAACACTTAGCTTAATTATAGCTTAAGCTTTCTTAGAATAATTTACTACACCAGTGTAACATTAAATTATGATTAATGTCAACCAGTTACTTCTTCAATAAATTACTTTCGATATTTCTCTGTTTTCCTCAAAAGTTTTGTTTCGAAGTCTTCTGAGCAAAGTTAACCGAACATTTAAATTTTGTTATACAAGAAATCTTAATAAAAGATTTATTTGCTAAGTAAAAATCGGATCCTATCGATACTTTACTCTATGATGCATCGACGTCGTTGATAGATGATACTTCTTCTCTTTTTTTATTTTACAGTTATCATTGAGTTGTTACCAATGTTTTAAATAGTTAAATAGTTACCAATATTTTAAATAGCAAGCCGAATAAATGTTGAACATTTAATCATTAAAAATCATATGATTTCGATTGCGAGACCATGTCATACTTTGAAAGAGAATTGTGAGAAGACAATGTCATTATAAGTCTATAATTAACTTCATTACGAATTACTGCCATGTACATACAATAATTGTGACAAGTTATATCTAATTAAAGATAAAATTTCAAAGATTTAGACTGTCAGAATGTTAGAATGCAGTTGTTAATTTTCTGAATTAAATCTCTGCGACACTGGAAATACAATGGGCTGCTTCGTCGGTCCGGACACGAAGAATACCACTTGCAGAACTCAACGGCACTGAAACGTACTCCTTCGCGTCTTGGGTCTGCAACCCCTACTGTCCGTATAAGCCGTATTGCCGCCGCCACCGCTACCGCCGCCGTCCCGTGGCAAACCTTTACAACCCGGCGCGTAGCGCAGCAGCCCCCGCGAGATAGTGGCAAGTTCCTCGCAGTGACATGGCGACTCGACGACTGGCGCCGCGTCGACGAGTTCGTCGGTCCCCACGTCCACCTCCGTCTCTTCCTCCCCTGTCTCCATCTATTTGTCTTCCACTGTCTCCTTCTCCTTCTGTTATCCATCCCTTCCTCTCATCCACCTCCTTCTCCTCTTCCTCACCTCTCGTTCATTTATCTATTTGTTCCTCTATGTACGTATGTACGGGGTCCGAGTGCCTTATCGCGGCACCATGACGTATGTCGCCGTTATTCGTGTCCAGCATAGCATATCGATGCGCGACGATGCCGGTGTCGGTATGGTGACCCGTATTCTCGCCGGCACGAGGTCGACGCGGCGCTCCTTCAATCTCCGTCGTTGTCCTGGCGACACCTCCCTCTCACACCACCATCAAATTTTGATACCCAAACACGTTCGAACGGGGTGGGATTAGGGCGCGACTGTGCGTACCAGCGAATTAGCACAGCCCGAACATTAATCAGATTCTCTTACCGCAATCAGCAACGTCCTCGTGAAATGTAAATAGCCGGAGAATTAACTTGGATTTTTTTATATGAGATAACGCGATAAACCCTATGCAACGCTTCGTACATAGGGAATATTTGAAAACTGTTGCTGAATTCGTGAAAAAGTACCCCTTTTTTGATGAATTGTTTCAGAATGTAGCAAGTTAAACGGTATTGTCAACTTCAAAGGGTTGAATTAATAAGAGAAAACTTTTCTCCCTCAGTTTCAATTGGAATATTACTTTAATAGAGTTTTAATTTGAAATGTTTTATATTAAATTGTGTACATATATATTGTTAAATTCATAATGTCATTGTAATGTCATGTCAATTCAATTTGAGTTATTTTTTAATCATTTTATAGATCTATTATTTAATATACTTTTAATTTAAGTGAAACGTTGAAGTTCAATAATTTAACTCGAGAAAATGTATCTATTAAATTTAATTCAAATTCAGTTTATTATTTACTAAATGCATGTACAGACGTTGTTTACGTTGAAATTAACTATGGAAATGAAAAGATTTACATTTTGGTACACATGGAAGTTAAAAATAACAAAATATTATCTCAAGGAAAAATAAGAAGAATAAAAGAGAACAGAGTAATAGAGATAGAAAGAAAGAAAATAAAAGAATTCTCAAATTATCTCTTATTTTTTAAAAACTGTACAAATTTAAACAATTTACAACATTTTTTTATTTACTTTACGGAATAAAATATGTGAATCATCAAGTACTGAGAAATTTTGTATAGAAATTTTGAGAATCAATATAATTTTTTGATATTAAATATTGTTAAAATTTATTTATTTTAATATGTCATTTGAAAATGTATATATATAAATAATAAAAATAATCAAAATATATTACAATTATATCAATATATTTATCACACATTTATTTTTTATATTGTAAAAATATTTAAATTTTTTACAACTTCATAATATATTACTTATGAATTTGTATCATTAAAAAATTAAAAAAACGAAGTTTATGAAAATAGAACAATAAAACTTTGAAAAACATATCTTTTTCCGTAAAAAGCCCGACAAGAAACAACTATTGCTTGTTAAGAAACAAAATGTTAGTCAAAATTTATTCAGTAACTAAACAGTTTATTAAGAAACTAAATATATTTTATCTTCTTTTCGCGTGGCAGTGCAGTGGCTGGATTTATGTCCACGGAGTGCTGATGTATTTACTCTTATTTCTTTTGCTCAATTTTGCATCCTACATTGCAGCTTTCCTACATTCTGCTTTCCGTATTGTTCGTATTCGAAACTTGTATGTAGTTCTTGCATGTGTATGTGTGATATTTCGTATTCGAAATCTTCATGCAGTTCTTGCATTGTAAAATTATGTTAATATAGAAGTTGAAATGTATAAATATTTTCATTGTATTTTAGTTATGCGATAACATGTTATTTTATTGTAATGTCAATTATCACTCCGATTTCATCTTGATAGGTATTACAGCAGCAGCAATATTACTGATGGTGCCAATTGTATATTCACATGTTTTTGTGTGTATCTCTGTGTAATTCTTCTCTTATACAATAAATTAAATTAAATCAATAATTTTTAATAAAAATTATTTATATCGCTAAAAGTCTGTTCTACTTTCGGATAAAGTATGCGATAATTTATCTCATGCAACATGTAGGTATATATATATATATATATATATATTATCTACGATAATAGCGTGAAGTGATGCATAATAGAATTATATGGTAATAATTTTTCTTCACGATTGCCATAATTTGTCGTGAATTTTATCAGTCGCATATCTTGTTTTTTTTTGCTTTATGGAAGAGCAAATTGGATTGCATGTAATGTGGCAAAACGCCAAAATAGTCTCTCTGTGATATACATTCCATTTCATGCGCCACACGCGTCTGGTGAAAAGATATTTTTAAAGACATTAATTCATAGAATTAAAAATTTATATATAAATATTGAATATAATATATATAAATAAATAATTAAAAATTTATATATAAATATCAATAAAAGTTATCGAACGTTTCCTTGATTAGTTGTATAAAGAATAAATGACAAACGTAATGACAGGCTCCAACGTCTGTTTTCTCTCACGGATTAGAGAACGAATTTTCTGAGATACACCAAGTTTTCGATGTGCCATTGGTTTATCGACTCCCGATAAACTCTCTCAGTTAGCTCGTCCAGCTGGTGGTTTCTTATCGACTACAAAGATGGTATAGGATTTCATCCCGCGCAACTGCAAAGCAATAACCGATAAGCTTGCACTAGACTATGCGCAAGACAATTTAAAATTCAAAATTAACTTCGTATAAAATTTGCGAATAGGGTGAATGGACTTTATCAAGTTCGTATTCGTCGTTCACCATTCGTGCTAATTCGCCAGTAGTTCTTTAGACAAAATCAAAGAGTATGAATCATCACAAAAATGTTTGATAAAATCGCGCTGAAATATGTCGGCGACAGTTGCCCGCGTCGTATAAAATTTTAAGTGTAGAAAAGAATCGAGAGCGCGACAGATAAGCGGCAGTATAGTTATTATGTAGCCGACTGGCACTATAAAAAAAAAGGAAAGGCGATTAAAGTTGCCACTTACATGGCGCTATAAATAATAGAAATAGATAGAGCGGTTATCGATTGCATGAACATAACTGCGCTTTCTATGAAGGGGTTGCACGAGTTAGTGGATCGTTATATGTACACAGTGTTCTTGAAAGTTGACGGTACATATTTTTAAAGCACTTGGATTTATTTTTAACTCATCGAAAAAAAGTAAAGTTCGTAAAAACTGCATATCTGTATTTATACTCGTAAAGCCGAAGGAATGGCCACAGAATTACATTCAGCTGCATAGTGTATAGTATAGTACTATTTTGTATATTATTTTCATAAAGAGAGTCTTTAAACTGTATGATAATCGTTAAAGTAAAAATCTTTTTAAATCAAAGGCGAAAGAAAAAGAGATTGTGCATTATAACGGCGGCCGCTCATTAAAATAGCGTGGGCTGTGCGATTTTTTGCAGGCGTTCTATACATTAATTGCATGGAATTTTGATTTCGTATCGATCCTTTTTATTGAATTTATTATAAACACACGCAATTCAAACAAAAAATCTTATTCTTTCAATGTGAAAGCTCGCAAAAACATGCAACAAATAGACTCATTTTCTGATAGTGATGCAATTTGTCAGAGAATTATTCTTTTAATATGTATTACTCAACATGTATATAATGCTATTCTGTTATCTAATTTGAAACGCAATAATCTACGCAACTAATAATAGATACGCAGACAGTCTTCGTGTTGCATAATTATGAAATGTTTCAGAGACAACTGTTGTATCTATTAGACTCCCGTAGAAAGTAACATCGAAACACTTTTAACTTAATAGCTGAAGTATGTATGTCGCAAACATCTACGTACAATATATTTTTATCATAATTAGCGATTGCGAAATACCTTCCGTTTGCGGAAAGTAATCTGAATACAGGGAAAATGTACATATACGGAAAGAAATTTTACTTAAAGTATCTAAAGATTTAGATACAGCTCTGAAAATAATTTCGTTTACTGTTGGATATCAAAGGAGCAATATAGTACCCTAATTCTTTGAGTTAAATAACATTTTGTTATTTTTAACTTCTATGTGTGTGTAAATCATGTGTGTGTAATTCATTTTTATACAGTTTCAACGTAAAACAATATCTATCTTAACATATGCTTAGTAAATAATAAACTAAATTTGAGCCAAATTTAATATACTTTCTTGAATTAAATTAACTCAATTGTTAATTAAATTAATGACATATTAGGAGTGGTAATTTAAATAAAAATGGTTAGAAATAAGTATAGGAGTAATCTAGATAGAAATGTTTAAAAATAAGTAATCTAGATAGAATTGATTAAAAATAAGTTAGACTGACAATGAATATAATATACTTGAATTTATGAATTTAAGTGTTAGACTATCAAAATAATTATATAGGAAACTCAAGTATGATGAGCAATACTACATATATAAAGTTTTAACATTCTAGCAATCAGTTTGATCGTCCTACATAATTATTTTGATAATTCAACAAAATTATTTCCAGATCTATATCTAATTAAATTTTTAATAAAACCATTCTTTCCGTGTTAAATTTGATTAATTTCGATATATCCTAGATTTCAAACAATGCTAAATTTCAAGAAATTATTAATTAGAAAAAGCATAAGAAGAGTTCTCAGAAATGATTTTCATTATATCTTATCCAGGTCAACATTGAATTGATTTCCTCAAATTTGCCATAGCTATCATGAAAAGTACTGTCAACATGCCTGATTTCCGCGAAAATATTGATATACTCTTGAAAGATTTAATCGAGTATCACAAAAAATATTGATACGGTTAATAGATTTATACGATTTCCACGAAAACGGTGAAAAGAACACACACATATACTGCGCAGTTAAGTATTAAAAAAAATAGCGTAATCCAATTAACATACATATTTAACACATGCGGCAAATTCAGAACATGAAGCAATGTTTTCCGATTGAGTTAACAGACATCATTTTCGCTAATAGAG